AAAAAAAAAAAAAAAAAAAAAGCAATTTCGCTCAGTCGTACCATTGCGAGTTTGTGGCCCGGTCTATACACTAGACCAATTATGGCGAGCGCCACTATAAGACATATGAAGTAAATCTGTGGAGGGGTGAAAGTTAAGAGAGCGTGTGTTTGTACTGCTAACAGGTTGGGCTGTCTACCTGAGGAGATTGTCATTTCTTCCTCTTCATTTTTACCGTTTTTTTGAAGGACTCAATCACATTTTCGCATGGCACTATGTTGTCATCGAATTCGTTTCGGTAGTAGCCTTCTCATGTGAAAAAAAAAAAAAAAAATGCACACATATGAGGGACTTATGCATGTATATGTACATGTACATGTACGCATGACTCCGTGTGCACTGTCGTCCAGTACGTTTATTCTTCACGTAGAAGTATGAGAAGGGAACCAGGACGTAGGCTTCGAAAATTAGCACCCAGAAAATGACTGCAGGAGGGGGAGGAAGGGCAGGGTAATTTGAATTATCCTAAGGAAGCACACATGAAGCACTTCTACAGATATTTCCATAATGCTGGTGCTTTGATTGCACTTTTGTTGAATTCATGCAATGCGAAGCCCCAACTGCGAAACACGTCACCAAGGGGAGGGGGTGAAACTAACAGTGGTAGAACTTTGACACGAGCCTTTGGGTTATTTCCAAGTTTGAGATTTCTACGTCCTAAAAAGATCGCCGCGCGGACAAAAGAAAAAAGCGAGCATTCAACAGATATACGAAGTTGACTGCAACAGTTGCAAACGAAGTGGCACTTTTAGTTTGCCGCTTCCTTTCTTTCCCTTTGAGACGAAGTACTTACCCCATTAGACACCACGTATATGTCCACTGGTATGAACAAGACGAGGATGAAACTTGTGCTAAGGGACAGAACAAAAGTTGCCGCCGTTAAAAACGTCGACTCGCTTGCCTTTACGAAATGTCTGTAAAACGCCCCGCATGATGTGAATATTAACTGGAAAAAAAAAAAAAAAAAAAAAAAAAAAATTGTTCACAAAAAAAAAATAAAATGGCTAGCTATTTTTGTGCTACTGGGTTCGTAACTATCATGCGCAGTGGGGGGAGGGTCTTACCCACCACGGGTTACTAAGCGCTACACGGACGAATGCAGCAAACACATTTACATGACTTAATTAATACGCATGTGTGGACCACCTTCAGGTGCTCATCTTTATCACTCATGGAGAAAGGCACAGGTAGCTAACCAAAATTAAAGAGGTCAAAGTGCATGAGGTAAGGAAATCCATCAGAAGACAACTTTATACTCGTTTTTTTTTTTTTTCTAGCCACCTTGGTGTGCATAAGTAATATTTTTTTGCAACCCCAGTTTGTTCCTTCTTTATTTTTTTTTTCTCTTTTTTTTTAATTGGCTTCTCTATGGAAGGAAACTTGTATGG